TTTTCACTGAATTTAATGGTTACTCTTTCCTAAAAAAATCATCCTTTACTTCTATCCTAACCCTGGTAATATTTTTGTCTCGAAATTAGATTTAATTTTTAACGAAACTTAAAACATTGCTTTATCGTCAATCGCAGAAATGTACCGTGTAAAAGAAGAAATATTCAGGCTTGAAATAATAAATAAAAAGTGAATAGACTGTGACTTCCGTCTGTGGTCGTTGATTGTGGATTTTGTATCTTTGAACTAAACGTCATTTTGCATATTAAAACAATTGTTGAATAGCTGGAATGGATTGGAAGGTTACTCTAACTTCATAATCATAAGTTTAGGCATTGAGGTTAAAATGATATTAGTTCTTATTGACTCTTATTACTTAAGGACGTAGAACGCTTCTTGAATATTTTCTATGTGGCTATCCATCTTGTCTGCTACGTTGTCTGTAAGATCTTACTTGGTTATGGCATTTCCGCTCTGTTGTGGGAGAGGGGCTTCTTGAAGGTATGGTTTTTTGGATATAACTATTTTGATTAAGTCACACGATTTCCTTTTGTACTAGGTATTTGTACCAATCTTGTATCGACCCTTAATGGTATTATCTATTCTTAAATATTTTCAAACTTGGACTCATTTGTTGCTAAAATTTCAAATCTATCACAGCCACAACTACATTTGCCTGAATATAAAAGAAATAAAACAGGCAGAAATAGAATAGAAGCTTTGTTGTGTTGACGGTCGCGTAGTTCCCCTTCCAGTGCGACGCTCGACCAATCAAAAGCCGGCAGCCGGTAGTTGCATCACATAAAAGTGGGAACTTCCAAGCGCGGAGCGTATTCTACATTTTGTCATAACGGTGAACGTATCGCTGTATTTTCCGACTGTTTGAAAGAATGGCTCGTACCAAGCAGACTGCTCGTAAATCGACTGGTGGAAAGGCTCCACGTAAGCAATTGGCCACCAAGGCTGCTCGTAAGAGTGCCCCGGCTACCGGTGGAGTGAAGAAGCCTCATCGCTACAGGCCTGGAACTGTCGCTCTTCGTGAAATCCGAAGATACCAAAAGAGCACCGAACTGCTGATCAGGAAGTTACCATTCCAACGTCTGGTTCGTGAGATCGCTCAAGATTTCAAGACCGATCTGAGATTCCAGAGCTCCGCCGTCATGGCTTTGCAAGAAGCTAGCGAAGCTTACCTCGTTGGTCTTTTCGAAGATACCAACCTGTGCGCAATCCATGCTAAACGTGTTACCATTATGCCAAAAGACATTCAGTTGGCCCGCCGTATTCGAGGAGAGAGAGCCTAAACAGCCTATTTTTCTTCTTCTATAAACAATCGGCCCTTTTTAGGGCCAAAATTCTTTTCAATATAGGAACTTTTCCAGGATACTTCCGATTTTCCACTGTACTCGTGAAATTTTTACTACTTTCTCCTTCTCTAAAAGTTTTATATTACTATCATAAAATACCATGTCGGACTTTATTATATTCTATTCATAAGTTATTGTTGTGAAAGTAGAAAATTTCATACGAATTACTCTTAACAGAGCCTCGTCTTATCTTTTCCGTTTACCGCATCAGAAGTGCGATTAGATATTAAGAGAAAAATAATAATCGATTCCGTCCATGGTTGCTATAAGTTTGTTATATAAGTAATATAAAGAGTAATAATGCACTTATATGTGCAGGAGCATTTAGAATTTAGTTCTTTCAATGGAATATTTCACAACTAGAATTTGGAATAGGCATAGTAAGTTAATGCTGAAGTATTCTACTATCAGAATATGAAATATGCACGGTTCCTTATAGAGAACAGAACATCTGCCCATCTGTCCGTCTTTTGTGCACGAAACGTGGCATTCATTGCATCTGTGACACTACTCCTTGAGGGATAATTTATTACTCATCCTAAACTTTCTAAAATTTTTAAAATTACAGTTAGGTTTTAGGTCTTACCCTCTACAAGACCGTAATAAGACCTGTCTGGACCTACGGAATCCAACTATGGGGAACAGCAAGTAACTCCAACATCGAAATACTACAACGCTTCCAATCGAAAACGCTAAGATCCTTAATAGACGCACCTTGGTATGTTATCAACGAAACCATCCATCGCGACCTCAAGATACCCACAATCAAAGAGAAAATAGCAAAATATAGCGATAGATATAGCAAAAGAGTCAACAAACACCGAAACCCCCTAATCACTGGACTACTTGATACGACGGACCAGATTCGCAGGCTGAAGAGGC